CAATTTTTCAAATGTAAATGCAGTTGTTATAAATTCACAACTTCAAAGTTTGTATAATTCCATTTGGTAATGAATGTAAGTCTATATTCATATTACAATGAGAAAGAGGGAGCTTGTTTTGTAATGTAAACAGGAATAAAAGAAGTACATTTGTCTATTTAGGAGAACTGTTTCAATGTATTTTTTATACTATGATCACAAAGTGAGTAGAGCTGAGAACTACTTAAACTGGCACTTGATGTGCTAATTATAAATTATTCTTTTTTATTTATTCATTGAATTTTGACAGGCTCAATCCTTTTTGGGTCTTGTACCATTCCAGCTATCCCCAAATAAGCTTTGTATTTACTAAGAATATAAAGATAAAATAGTATTTTCATGACCTAAAGATCAAAGGCAATGGGAGGTATTACCCTTCAGAATTTAGTAGCTGCAGCCAAGCTGAGAGGCTGGAAGAACTGTTTAGCACTCTTTTGGCTGAGACTCGTTTGAACCAGGGATTCTCTGATATCCGAGTCTTTGGCTTCTTGGAGAGCCTGGGTCTCTTTTTGTTCTAGCCAGCCTCTGGACTTGGCCACTTGGAGGAACCACAGCCAGCTCTTTTGCAGTTGCTTCTAATTCCCCTTGCCTTGTACTGAATTCATTATCGGGACTGTGCCTGATCTTGGGTATTACAGTTTATGAACTGTGAAATGATACCCCATCACAGCTTCTCCAGATTTGGATCATTCTTGGAGTTCTATATCTCTTTGGATTAGAAACTGGTGTTTGAACTTGAATTATGGTTGCTTATACTCATGGAAGGCAGCTACTCTTCATTAACAACATGCATTATAGTATTGTGGCCAAAATCATGTTCAAGTATATAGTCTAATTACTGCAGGAAACCGATGCAGATACTTAGGAAATACTTCAGTCATTTGATCCCACTGCCATATGTACCAAAAGATAGTAACATCATATTTCTTTTTTAAAGTTGGATAGTTTGAATTTTTCAATATTTCAGAGAAGCATTTCTAGGGAGACATTTAAATGCTGAATAGGGGGAAAAAGTACTTGGAATTAGCTGAAATAGGCTGCCTAGATAAAGAGGAATGACTTATATATCAAACTCAAATGTATCTAAAACTTTTCAACCTTTTGTATTTCCTTACTCAGATAAAGACACTGAAATTATCCAGAGACCCAAAGTAAGAACCCCAGAATCATCCTTGATTCCTCCAATTTTTTCTTTTCTACCCTTAATTTGCTTAATTAATGTTTGGCTTATCAAACATAACTATGAACTATTTCTTCCTTTCCAATCCTACTGTCACTGATCTTGAGTAGATTCAGAAAATCTCTTCTATGGGATGCTATCATAGACAGACAACCTACTGATATCTCTGCATCCAATCTCTGTAATGGGTTCTGCTCCCTTTGTTTATCTTTTAAATGTTAGTGTTTTTTGTAGTTTGGTTGTACATCCTCCTACCCCCTCATTCTGTACTTTCTCCCTGGGCAATTAATCCACCCTGGTGGATTCAAGTGCCCTTAATACGATATGACCCTGCAATTTTCTTTTCTAGTCTAGATCACTATCCTAGGCTTCAAACCTGTATGTCCATCAGCTTAATAGATATCTTTAATTGGAGAACTCATAGGAATCTCATCTGCCCCACCTCGAACCTACTGCTCATTTTGTGGTCCCTATCTCGGAAAATAATACCTCCATCTGCACAGATTAGAGACAGAAACCAGGATATTATCCTTGAATTCTTTTATTCACACCCCCTTGCATTTATTTCTGTCTCTCAAATCTATTCCTATCTCTCCATACCCACTGCCCCTATCTTAGTTAAGGCCAGCATTGAATTTCACCTGGATTACTTGAACTTTTTAACAGTCTTCTAAAGAGTCCCCTACCTCCAGGCTTGTTTCTCTGCAATTCTGGCTACACACCGTAGTTGGAGTGATTTTTCTAAAAAAATGCAAATATAAGCATCTCTCTCTCTCCTGCTTCAAATTCTTCAATAGCTTATTACTGCCCTTAAAATCAAGTTCAAACTCTTTACTAACCTACCAGGCCCTTTAAGGTCCCTCTGCAGCCTCATCACTGGCTACTCTCCCTTTAGATAATTAAGCTTCATTTTTTCCTGAAATACTTGGTCTCTCTGTCTTTTCCCCTTTGGGTCTTTGCAAATTATTCTGCCTCTTCCTAGAATGTTTTCCCCCTGTCTCGCTGTTTCCTTTGCCTAACTCCTAACTCTTCTTTTAATGCCAATTTGAATTTTATTTACTATTTGGATAATACTTTCCTGACTATCCCTCTCCCAAGATTCAGTTTGGTGGCCTTTGATTTGCTCTAAGAGCACACTCCACCCATTTAATATAGACGTTTTCTTTCTATATTCTAATTGCCTCTTCTCTCATTTATCACACTGTAGACTTTTTGAGGGCAGGGATTTTGTATACAACCTGTCACGGTTGTCTAACAAAGCGTGAATCCAACTTATAGTATGAATTCTGGTAACTGCCCTTTACAAAGATCTCTGATGTCTCTTACTGAATAAAGACTCAAGTTCTTAACATGGCACATAAGGCCCTTCTCAACGAGCTAGACCGTATCTTTCCAATTTCATGTCCTGGAACTCCTACCTATAGCTCTCCCCCACCTTCCATATGTATTACTCTGAACACCTCTGCACAGGTCATTTGGATGACATCACACTTTTGCTTATACTGTTCCTGCTTTCTGAAATGTCATTCCTCTAGCTCATGCAGATTTAAAGGCTCTCTCTTCCAGGTCATCAAAAACTTTATTTTATTCTGTTACAACACATATCTCACTGTATTACAGTTATTTATTTTTAA